CGGCCATTTTGAATACAAAAATGTCAAAAAAAAATCTACTTCCTCTAAGGCCCCAACATTTGCCATTTCCATCACTTTTATGAAAAAAAAAAAAACTTTTTATAGCCCTTCTAATTTGTTTCGGTACAAGTGACAATGAAAACAATTGTGTACAATAGTGATGACAATGTAAACTCAAATAATTCGTCAAGAAAAATAAAATCTTCTGTCCATAATTCCATACTAAAAAAAAAAAAAAAAAGAACAAACAAACAAACAAAAGGGCGATCTAATAAACAAACATTATCCATTCAGTAGACACTACACGCTATTACAAGGTCTGCAGATCAATCGTTTCCAAACCTCTCTGAACTTGGTGGTCTATACTCTATAGCTAGGCTACCTATTTATGCTCTATACGCACGATGGAGTGAGGCAAACCTTTAATAAGACTGCTTATAGATTGCAAAAAACCCCCATCTTTCTCTTTCTGGTACAGCCCTCAATTTAATGTTCATCAACCATTAACAACTTCATTCTTCTATCACTCAATTGTTCTGTTGCAGTCATTATACTGTTCTGTACTGAAACAGTATAAGTATTAAAATGAGACAATTTCTTGTACCACACGCGTGAATGAAAAGGAAACAAAACCACTGTTTGGTAGTACGAAATAGATGAAGCCAGCCTGGTGGATGGAATCAAATGGACAACCAACCAAGAAACCAAACCTCCCCCCGCCCCCCATTAAAAAAAAGGGGTAGGCCATTTCTCACTTGAATTAACTGAGCTTTCAATGCTGAACCAAAAAAAAAAGGCCATATGAATACTCCAGCCTCATTGATTGGAGCTGAAACATATAAATCAAACACGGCCCAACCCCACCCCACGCACTGCTGTCCCTTTCCGAACAACAAACTTGACTCCCTATCCGGCTATCCCCATGTTTGTTTGCGGTCATTCCAGTGCTGAGTGTGAGAGCTGAGAGGTTTTTTGTCTGGCAGAGGAAGATGTCCATCGACCTCGACGCTTTCTTTATCTACTCTTAACACCTTTAATTTACAAGCTAAAGCCTAAATAAAGCATATAGCCCCCACCCGTGGTGATAGTCCTTGTCCTTAGTTCTCCTCACACATCAACACTCATGACCTACCCTGATTATCAGGGCATAGTCCAGTGCTCTTCTCCTTCTCCAGCCATGGAATATGGATAGACACTCCATCACAGAGACGATGAGAGACCTCACCCACCTCTCACACTCACCGCTTGTGATCATTAATGACATCTAAAATCGTGTGTGAACAGATATGAAGCCAATCAATGAGACAACATTGTCCTATCTATACCACAAATAAGTATTATTATTAGCAAACTTCAGCAAGGACCTCTGCTTCTAAACTCTAAAGGGCCACAACACTGCCGTCCGGACTCCGGAGTCATCATGTTCATAGCTGGCCACTGTTGAATAACTCAGAAACAATATGATCAGAGCCCTCCTCCGCCCTCCAAAATCCAGCACTTCCTTATTCCTTATGGGACCCATGGACTACTGGCGGGTCCCCATCATCTCAAATCTCAATGGTCCTGTGTCATCACCAGAGGACCATATCTGTCAGGTGCAGAAGTGGGTTCTGGGCCGGGATATGAATTTACAAACCAGTAATTATTCTTTAGTCAAGAATTAACATGATTAGTAGTTGAACGTATTTGTCTATAACAATAATAAGATAAGAAAATAAAGAAAAGATTCTTGTAAATCATTCTGTAAGTTGAAATTTGGTTTGGCTAGTTGACAGAACATCCTGACGTGGGTGATTGACTAAAGCCAAAACAAAAGGACACGCGGGCTCGCGTTTTGATTGGATGTCTCAACTTGTTTCCCGGTTGGCTTCTATGAGTTCTTACTTCTGTCTCTTTCCTTCTTTCCGTAAGAAATTGAGACCCACCCCGAGGAAAAGCCCTTCATGATCAGTTGCGTGACATTTCTGCAAAGACCAATTTTTTCATAATTTAAGATATATTACCAAAGTTTCCATGCATTGTTATATTTGTTTAAGTTAACTAATATTTAAAAATCCTTTATATTTGTTTGAAGTTTTTCATTTCGATTTTAACCATTTATTTTTGACAGAATTGGAATCTGATTCTTCGTTTTTATTGGAGTGGCATTCTTTCATTTGAGAGAATAACGATTCTCTCCCCTTTCTTTAAGAATGAGAATCCATTCCATCTCATTCTAATTCCAATTCAAATTCTCATATGAACCAAACAGGTAAGAGAAATAGACTGTTCTAATTCTGATAGATTTCAATTCCGATTACAACTGCGGTTTTATTACACCTGAAATACGTTAAATTTTAGTTTGTGAAACTCCTCTGGAATTGAAGATCATACAACAAATATTTCTTTATGAAACCCGATTTAGGCCAGAGCTTTGCAACTCGGCAACACCCATAAGCCAGTTCAAAGACCAAAATTCACATGCAGGAAAAAAAAAAAAATCAGCTGTCCATGATCAACCATGGGCTGTCAATAAACCTCTCCCTGCAGTTGCAAGACGCTTGGACTATTTTAGCCTTTTAGGAGCCTCTACACATGACACCTTAGTTGATTCAGGTCTTTGTTTGTGAATGTTGAGTATAAATACTGTTTTACCCACACTCATGATTCGATGTCATTCACAGCAGGTTACCAAAACAGGGTAGGCTGTTTTAAAAGATTTTTCCTATCAAAACCAATGTTACTGTTACCAAGTGGAAGGAGTCTGAACTAACGTCTGGAAAGCCATTTTGACAGTCCAGGGTAGGGGTGGCTATGGACCGATTCTTCACAAGCTATTCAAGCTCAGTTCATGAAAAGTTCGGTTCAGCTCGGTTTCAATCGAGCTCAAGCTTAATAGAGCTCAGCTCGGCTCGGTTTCAACAGAGCTTAAGCCTAATAGAACTCGACTCGTGAGGTTAACGAGCCAGCTCGAAAACATATATATATATTATAATATCATATAATATAATATAATTATAGAAAATAATATATATAATAAAAATATTATAATTCTTATTTTTTTAAATATCAAATAAAAAATATTTTTATATATAATTTTTAATTTTTATAAAATATTTTTCTTAAATCAAACTCGAGCCGAACCGAGCTCGAACTTACGAGATTATGACTCGAGCCGAACTCGAACTCAAGGTTTTAACTCGAACTGAACTCAAGCTTAAACTCGAGCCTTATACTTCCTAGGCGAGCCAAACTCGAGCCTCATACTATTTGGCTCGACTCGGCTCGAACCCACCCCTAGTCCAGGGCCAGGCTGTCGAATCTAAAACAACCAAACCATCTAATCGAATTTAGACAGCCAAATCCTTCAAGAATATTTGCTAAAAAACCAAACTAATAAACACGTTCTCACATTCTGGTGGTATTAAAAAGAGGATTCTTTGCCTTTGATGTTAGTCCGGCCACAGGCCCACAGCCCGTCCATTTACATCATCCATTGGGATCTGCAAAAATACAGCATCTGGTTCGCTAGATGCCCTTAATATAAATGGGCCAGAATGGATATCTGGAAATCTTGAAAAGGGTGATATATGCTTTAGCCATCATGTCAGTAGAGCATGTTTTTTCTATGGCCATATATTGGAAACCTGGTCGTCATTTTGTCCCACTTCTGATAAACCGGACGCCTCAAAAGGGTATAGTCCGATACTCCGATCATGATAAGGTGGTAACCAATCATCAACTGGTATTCATAAATAAGTCATGGGTATCTACAGTTGAAAGTATTGAAAATGCAAAAAATAAAAAAAAAAAGAAAAAATAATTTTTAATATATATCTCATATTATGCATGAATACAGTAAAAAAATACCAATAGATGTATTAAGAAAATCCAAATAAATCCTAAATAATACTAAATATAAGTTTTAGATGACTATGTGGAGTTGAACTATCAAGACTACATTGAAAAATGATGGAAGAACTAAACATGCTTATCTCATTTATTGGCCAACGTAAAAAAAGAAAAGAAAATGTCTAAAAAGTTAAGATTCATAACATATGGAACCAAGGTTCAAAATATCAAATCATAAGTGTCCTACTGTATCAGTAAAGACATATGCATGTGGTGCAGGTGGAATGCCATTGAAAATTTATAGCTGTAGTCATAAGCAATACTTGTTGATTGAAATGCATCTCTTAACATAAACTATAAAAATGTACAAGTCTTGTGTGCTTATACCTTATTCATATTTCAACCTGTTATAATGTATCTTTTAATATAAACTATTAAAGTGTGCATTTCTTGTGTTTATACCCTATTCATATTTCAACCTTAGATTTAATGTTTTAAATCTTGAATGTACTATAACAAATAATTAAAGCATGGCATAGTGATTGATTTGTTCTCTTTCAACTTGAATTGAAGGCCAAAGTTAAATCATCTTACCTATGATTCTTATACCAAACAATTTCGGATCATAATAATTAAGGGAATTCAATGGCATATAAAGAAATCCAATTAGACATAATTAAGGAGCAGATCTGCACGATGATAACACCACAGTCACACACCGAAAACATTTCTGTGGATGACAAGGATATACTCAATGTGCAGCTGTAGATGTGCAAACACATTGTTTTGTGATCTGCAGATCTAGCTTGATCTGCTACTCACAAACTGTTCCCACATCGATACCCGCGGAACACTGATAAGGGACGTGAGAACTGAGAACTCGTTGGTAGCAGATCCAAGCCCGGCCGAAATAGCTTCGAGTCTTCGACACTTTTTTTTTTCCTTTTTTTAAAATCTGACAGAAGTTAGTGTACAGTGTGTTGAAAGTTCTAAAAGGTCAAAATTCTTAACAAGTGATGTACCAATGACCTGAAAATCGATACATATCATACGAAAAGCACCGTTTGGATGTCAAAAACGACGTTTGCCTAGATCACCACCCTATATAAATGTCTCTGCGACACGCACACAGATGAGCAGTTCATAAATGAAGGTTGCAGAAGAGAGCATGTCACAGCTTAAACCAGATCTTTATATCGTGCATAGATATTCGGAGTCCATAAATGGAAAATAGTCCTTACATATTGAACCAAGTATCCACTTGTATCAGTTTATACATGGGACAATTAGATATCAACAGTGCTTACACTTGTTTTCCATCACCTAGTGCATCATCTCCTGTATAACTGCAGCTGAAAACAAAGCAGAAAATAAGATTCCAATAGGTGATGCTCATACAGAAAGATAAATCATTATTGGGTAGGATGTGTTCCATAGCTAAAGGCAAGAAAAAAAGAAAGAAACGAAATGGAGTCTTCTTTCTGGGCCATGGGTTCAGAATGTATCCCACAAAAGAGACCATGTAAAGTTGAAATGCATACAAGCAACAGAGATATTGCTACAAAGACTGAAATCAATAGCCACAAAAAGAACTGCACTTTCAATAACAAATTAATGCCTTCTGATCAAAAGAAAAATACAAGGACGTGGTATCTGATTTACTGCTGTAAAAAGCATATGTGAAGCATTCTACTCTTTTTCATCTGTTCGAACTTCTTCTCACAAAGTCGTACTAAAACCACAAATACATCACCTGTCAATGAACCCCTCTCTGCAAGAAAGTTCACATTTTCTATCAAGCATGGCATCCCATCAGAATAAAATACAAGCATCGTGCTTCTTACAAGAAACGATGGACTCTCCTTTTTTGAGAATTGATACAATCCTGCTTTACATTCTCAAGTATTATCTTGTTATCCACTGTAATCAGCTCTTAGATATTTCCACATCACCAAATTCACTTTAAGCATCCCAAACATTTTGCTTCCTCAATCAAATTGCTTCCTACTCTTTCCCAGAAACATTGCAAGAGATATTGCTTTAGTTGAGTAACAAGGAGCAAAATGTTACAATAGATGTTCCTTGTCCTGGAACAGATAGCTTAACCATGTTAGCATGACTTTTGTAACAAAAGTGGAAAGACTTTCTATTGTCATCTTCCACTTTTGTTGGGTGTGATCATGGAAAAGGAGAAAAATGTTCTATTTACAAGCGTTTAATCTAAAGCCCCTTTTAAGATAGGATTGTGCATATTACACTAAGAAAAAATCAACCTAAAGCATAAATGATTGGAGTATTCCAACAATTCCACTATTTTATTTAGGGTCAGAATGGCATCTTTGATGGGCTAAAACTGATGGATCAACTTTTAATTTCCAGGATCAATAGGATGTATTGTTGCTTCTTTAGGGTACATTTTGCCATTTGAGATCCTATCTGCAAAAAACTAAGGCTTTAGTTATATAAAAGAATTTTGTTTTGTTCATTTTAAAGGTTAATAGGCCATAACTTGGGGGCAATCATCTGGCCCACAAATTTCCGAGCTAGGGCCTAGGTTTTGTGTCTTGGCCCCGCATCAAGCTCAAAAGGTGTAAAACACACATAACCGTCTAAAGAAATAACCAAAAAGGCGTATTTAAAAAATAAAAGGGAGAACACCCCGGCTAAGGCAAACACCAGGAAAAGAGGCTGCACCTGGATTCAGGCAAAGCACATGCCTTAAAATGCACCTCACCCATGCACCTAGGTGCACCTTTTAGAGCATTGGGTTTGTTAGTGAGAATTGGATCTCTTTTAAGGGCTTCTTAATGAATAAAAAATGAAAACCACAAAATATAATGCCCTCAAAAAAATGCAAAGAAAGCAAGCTTAAGGCATAATGGCACATTATGAGATGTGTAATAGGTTAGATGCTCGAGAAAACAACATAGATGTAAGATCATCTTAGATGCATAAAATATCAAAATTCAGAAGCAAAGCATACAAATGAAGCGATAATGAAGGTAGGGTGAAATTATACTTTAACAGCATTACATCAGGTTCATACCAAGAGCTTGAGCCTTGTGCATTAAATAAATCCTGCATTTCAAAGAAATCAAAGATAATGCACGGCTTTGGATCATTTAGATATTCAAAATTGAAAAGGCTTTGACAAATATCAAGATGGTAAAGAGGATCAGGGGTTTGGCATCCAAATGAAAGTCCAAACAAAATTGTATGGGTGATATATGTGTGTGTGTGTGTGTGCGTGTATCTTGGCTCACCAAAAGGGTCCAGTATGACATTAGTTATAAGACGAGAAATTTTATGTCAATGGAGGAAAAATGCTGTAACATATATAATAATAACAATAACAATAACAATAACAATAATAATAATAATAATAATAATATGTAAATAGTTATACCAACCACTGGGAGACAAATTTATGGGTCGCTACAAATATTTAATTGAGCAAAGACTAAGGTCGCATTCGGTACCATATCTCTACCTGAAACATTTTGGGCTAATCAATACAAGTTGGTGAAAAATGTGTTGTCACATCACATATGAGAGTCACTTCAGCTAGAAATAAACGCATGTTTAGGACTGAGTCGACTGACCCATAGTTGTCAAGGCGACACCTAGGCGACAAGGCACCCTTGCAGTCTCGCCTCGCCTAATTGCCAAACAGTTTTCTAATAGCATGTTATAACAAACTTTTATATTCTTAATTTTTTTGAGGTTATAATTATAAAATAGACATTTTTAAACTAAAATATTCATTTTGTGTGTTTATATACTAATTTCTTTTTGTTATTTTCTTATTTGTTAGSGTTTAATCAACACAAACATTGCTAAGTGCTGTATTGAACCCTCAAAAGAGACATTTTGTGGGTTTATATACTAATTTCTTTTTGTTATTTTCTTATTTGTTAGGGTTTAATCAACACAAACATTGCTAAGTGCTGTATTGAACCCTCTTATTTGTTTTTATATACTAGTTTCTTCTTCTTCTTCTTCTTCTTCTTCTTCTTCTTCTTCTTCTTCTTCTTCTTCTTCTTCTTCTTCTTCTTCTTTTCCTATAACAGAAATAGGGGTTCAGCCCCTATGTTTTTCAAATTTTCTTTTCTTTTTTCTTTTTCTTCTCATGAATATATTGGAATATGTTGATTTTCTATACTTTAAACAAGAAGTTTATACTTCTCTTATGAAAATTATGGATCTTTATTAAGGAAATATGATTATGGAACCTAGGGAACTATCCTAGGATACATGTTTTTACTTAAAAAAATCCATCGCCTAGGCAACTAGGTGCCCCCTGTCACCTAGCCTCACCTTGGCACCTTGAAAACTATGGACTGATTGTTGATATTTATAGTTGAAACCTCAAATTAATGTTTTAGGCAGAAAGTAGAAACAACAGTGTGTATTGATCAACCCAGAACGTTTCAGATAGACACAGCAATGGTACCAAACACAACCTAAGCCAATGTCAGAAAACCAACTTGTTTTAACCAAGGAGACCAAATAAAACAAATGACAGGGGGTGTATCGGGGGTCTGACCGGTTCAGGGGGTGGAGGAGACCTAAACCCGCCCCCCTGAACCAGTTTCAGAAAAAAAGTAAAAAAAAAAAAAACAAAAAGAAATAGTATCGATACGCCCCTACTGGCGTATTGGGCGTATCGATATTCTGAACCTTGCTTCTATATACTACTTTACAAATGACTTCTTTTAGTACAAAACTTTTTTCAAGAAAAGGGGAGAGAAGGGGTAAACCATAGCGAGGCATGGGTATCTTAGAATCTAATTATTTTAAAATTGACCCAAATAAAACAAAATATATGGTGGATACAAAAATAAAGAATTAAAATTCCTCAAAGCTAATCAGTTTCAACATCATAATTAAATTATAGATAAAGTTGAAGAGATTAAAGGCTGTATCACCCATGGTAACAGAGTAGATAGATAAAGCCATATATGCTTCAAAATGGCATAGATGAGAATGATAATGCAAGATGAAAGTTCTTGAAGGGCAATAAAAAGGCAGACATGGAATCCCAGTTGAAGTAAATGATTTTATTTTTGGAAAATGGATAAGGTAAATTTTATTAAATAGAAGCAGAAGATACAACAAACAGATAGGTTTGCCCACTAGGCAAACACTACTACAAAAATACATCAGTCAAGCCACAACTGGGAACCATTGCAAATCTGGTTCGGAAATACATCAGCGAAGTCCTTGGAAACAGAGGCCCAGGAGAAAATTCTACTAATCACAGCATTGATCAGTTTTCACACATCTAGACCTGCTGAAAAACATCTTTCTATCCAAATGATCCAGATAATAGGTGGAGGGACAAGCTTGGATATAATTTAAGTAATGAAATAAGCTTTACTTGTTCATTGGCTTCAAAATGTAACCTTGGATATAGGTTGGAACAAAGGAATAGGAATTGTTGCCAACTCCACTAATGTGAGATATACCACAGGTAAGGATGGTAATGAAGATGGTCTCTTCCCCTATTTTCACAAGATGTGATTCAAACAACACCGATAAACTAAGCACAAAATGTTGTGCAAAATCCTTACATATGCTAACATAATCCAATAAAAGTAGAAAAACAGATCTATCAACAACAGGTTTGGAGCATCACCAACTTCAACTAATAAGCAGTTCATCATAACAGGTAAACATAGCTTATTACGAATATCAGTAAATAAACCACCATAAAAGTAGAACAGATCTACCAACAACAGGTTTGGAGCATCACCAACCTCAACTAATAAGCAGTTCATCATAACAGGTAAACATAGCTTATTACGAATATCAGTAAATAAACCACCAAAGTATGCTGTTTACAAGATTTCCATCCTGAGCAGGTAATAGTTGTAATTTGATCTGAATGGATGAAGTAATCCAAATTACGGGACAATATTTGAAGGGTTCAAGAAGATTAAAAGTAAATTGTGGCAACAAGTATAATAATATAATTTGTGGTTGAAAAGAAAATCCCTAGCAATATTTGACAGATAAATATGAGAATGTCTAAAAACCAAGAGGGACAGACATTGCCTGAAGTTGAAGGGAACAGAGTTAAAGAGGGAGGTGAGATGACAACAGAAAAAATCTGTGAGAAGAATGTGGTCCTGAAGGCTGAAACTACTGGTTGACTGAATGTCAACGTAAACTTGCACCAAATAATAATAATAATAATAATAATGATCATACCTGCAGTGCCCATTGCCATGAACTGTTGTCTTCAAACTTCAAGCTTGGTAGAACATTTCCAAGAGTTTGATAGGCTATCCAAAATGATCCTCTATCTGGTAACTTTTAACAAAATTGCTCCTTGCACTTTAAGGCTCTTTCTATGTAGACTAATAGTCTTGCAAGATTTTGCAAGTTTTCTATTCTCTCTCAATGGTGTTTGTACTTGCTCTAGTACTAGACTAGGGAGGCTAGAGCCTAGTCTCCCTTTTTGACAATCTCCTCTTTCTCAAAGAAAATTCAGTGATAGGAGTAAGAATGAAGGAGATTCTCCACTCTTAGAAGAATGCCAAAAGGGAGAGACCCTATCCATCTATTTTGTAGGTGGTCCCCCTCCCCCCATCAAGGAACCTCCTCTACTAGCCTATGAGAACCAAACACATCCCCCATTTTGCTCAACCACTCCCCACTCTCTCTTATCCTTATCCTCCAAAATTGAATTTTAAATTTAAAGTTAGATAATGACAAGGAGGTTAAGATTCTAGGGCCTTGTAACTTTGACTCAACCAAAATGGGAGTCCTTATGTGAGAAATCCCAATGACCACAACGATGGGCCATAACTTTATGGGTCCCACACTCTAACAATCTCCCACTTGGCCCAAGTGTGGTCAATAGTGGAAGGATGTAGCTTCATCAGCTCATGGTGATTCTCAAAACTCACTTAGGTAATTACTGATGTAAACTCAGATCATGGCAGTCCCTCCTAAAAGTGAAGTTTCCATCCATGCATCAGGGCATTTACACTCGTAACCCTTAGTACAGTGGATTATATACACCGGTCCTAGATGTGTTCTTGTGCTTGTCTATCATTATAATGTGCATGTATTAGACAAGTGCGGGACTGCAAGAACTGGAAAATTAATTACTGGCATGTGTCACCATATTGACTTGATAAAAGAAGTGACAATTCCCATGTTTTTAACGTGTCCTGTAAACACATTAAGGGGCACCCCCTTGGTCATCGAATCAGCAATCATGAGTTCAGTTCTTATATGCTTGATGATGATTTTTTGTTCTTGCACTCTGTCCCTCACTAGTAAGTACTTTAAGTCAACGTACTTACTTTGACTACTACTCTTGTTGTTATTCGAAAAGAACACAGCTGCAGAATTGTCATAGAACAACTTTATTGGCTTATCCACATAGTCAAGCACTAAGGCGCCAAGTCCTATGATAAAATTCTCCAACCAAATTGCATGTGTCATGGCATCATGACATCCTATGAATTCTGCTTCCATAGTAGAGGATGCTCTAAGCTTTTTCTTAGTAATTTTCCACAACACGGCCCCTCCTGCAAGCAGAAAAAACATATCCTGATGTTGAGGCTTTGCTATCGGGGTACCCAGCAAAATATTAGTCTGTACAACCCAACAGCTCTAGCTTGTCTACTTTTCTATAAGTAAGCAAATAGTCCTTAGTTCCTTGTAAATATCTAAATACCTTTTTGGCTGCTCTCCAGTGTTCTCTACCTGGATTGCTTTGAAACCTGCCCAACACTCCCACTGCAAAAGCAATATCTGCCCTTGTGCATACAAGAGGCTCCCAACTGGAGATGCATAAGGAACTTTCTCCATGTCTTTCTTTTCATATTGGGTTTGTGGGCAGCTATTTATGTAGCATGTCTCCTTTATTAATGGGTACTACACTCAGCATGCAATTCTCCATATCGAACCTCTACAAGATCTTGTTTATGTATGCCCTCTAGGATAACCCCAGTGTCTTGCGGGCTCTGTCTCTATGGATCCCAATGCCCAAGACGTAGGATGCTTCTCCCACGTCTTTCATGTCAAATTGTTTGGTAAGGAATTCTTTCATTTGATTAAGC